TTACAGTACAAGTTCTCATATGTCCTGAGTCTTAATTGACCTTAGAAGGCTAGGGCCAAAATGTTGGCTTTCCTTGCAGCCCTCCTTTTTCTCTAGCTTTGATCTGCAAACTTAGGTTGTTAACCCTCCAGAAGACAAGCTTATTGTTATTACCGTACAACTTAGGCTGTTAAGCTTAACCTCACTATCTGTCTGCATATCAAACATCTTAGGCAAAATACGGAACAGGTATTTTTCATCAAGTATTGATATGTTGAGCTTTAAGTCCCTATAGAATATGATAAAAACATTTAAAAATTAGAATATACTTTATAATAGGCATAAAGAATTATATACTTCTTATGTTTACACATAAGTCCAAAAATCTCACCATATACAACTTTGAAGCAAGGCAGTCCCACAGTATTTCTTTTCCTGTCTCTTGCTTTCATTCATCACCCCCTTCCTTTTGAACAACGATCTACCAGAGAGACATCATAGAAGCATCTGACATGTCAGAACAAGCAGACCATCAATAAAATTATTTAAAGAAATCACAGTTAAATGGAAAGTGAAAACTGAAGGTTTAAAGTATGGGAAAAAAGGATTTAGCAATGAATCCTAACTATTCCTAAGTAGTAAAGTTAGGAAACATGAGAGGGGTAAATCCATAAATTTATGTAAACGAGATGGTTGAGGCAATGTTCCGAAGAATCTCCTCAGTTTTTTGAAACTAGCAGTTAATTGGTAGAATTCTCACCCTGACTAACCATATATGCTGATATCTGTGAACTAAGCAACTAAACTGAGGATAGCACTGCATAATACCGAAACCATCTTTGGAATCCCTATCATTCTGGTCTTCTAAATGCGTACTGCTTCCAATATCATATCAATTATTGCTATACTCTCTCAAGTAAATGTTTGTTTTAAAAAAAGGTAATTTAAAAGAGACAAGAAGTGCCGACCAAATATCTCCGTGGATTAAAGTGCCTGCTTAAGCAGATGCAGGGGCCTGGAATTAATCCCCTGACCTCTGGTGCAGGCCCATCCCCAGTGCATGCTGAGATGGTGATTGAGACTGGGTGTGGTGGCACAAGCCTGTAATCCCAGCATTTGGGAGGCTGTAAACAGGAGGATCACTATGAGTCTGATCTACACAGAGAGACCCTGTACACACTGTAACGCTGTCCTAAAAACAAGAAGAGGAAGAAGAAGAAGAAGAAGAAGAAGAAGAAGAAGAAGAAGAAGAAGAAGAAGAAGAAGAAGGAGAAGGAGAAGGAGAAGGAGAAG